GGGCCTTAGGTGGAGCTCTCTCCTGATCGGTCCACAAACTAAAAAACATAAAAATAAGCGCCGCTCTGTTTAGAATGCGGAGCCCGTGGGGGACTCAGAGAGCAGCTACTACATCCAAAACAGTATGTTCGACGGTCCCGCTGTCGAGAGGGCTCCCCGAGGCCCAAAACGCTTCGACGGGAAGTCTGGTTACGTTTGGGCAGGATCGGGTCGACGTTTGGGTGATCTGGCCTGCTTTGACGTGTGGACTGGCTTAATTTTGGGACAGGTCTGGTATACGTTTGGGTGTTCTGACTTGCCTTGGTCGGTGGTCTGTTGAACCTTTGGGCGGGGTCGGGTCAACTTTCGGGAGGAGCAGCTGGCTGCGATGGACGGTTTGGTTTACTATTGGGCGGGATCTGGTCTACGATTGGGAGGCCAGGCCTGTTGTGGCGGGTGATCTGGTTTATTTTTGGGCGGAGTCGGGTCTACTGTTACCGATCTGGCTGTCTTTGACGTGTGGTCTGTCCTGATGTTGGGACAGCTCTGGTATACTGCTGGGCTGTCTAGCTTGCCTTGTTCGGAGGTCTGATGTCCTTTTGGGCGGGGTCGGGTCAACTAGCTTGAGGCCTAGCTTGATGCGATGGACGGTCTGGTTTACTATTGGGCCCGGAGTGGTCTACTGTTGGGTGGTGCAGTTTACTTGTGGGAGGGGTCTGCTCTACGGTTGGGCGGTATAGCCTGCTGCGATTGATGGTCGGGTATACTGTTGGGCGGGGTCGGGTCTATGTTCGGGCAGTTAAGCTTGCTGCGATGGGTGGTTTGGTTTACGTGTGGGCGGAGTCTGGTCTACTTTGTATGGCCTCGCGTGCTTTGATGGGCGGTCTGGCTTACTTTTTGGCGGGGTGTGGTCTACTCTAGGGCGGTCTAGCCTGCAGTGGTTGGTGGTCTGGTTTACGTTTGGGCTGGGCCTGGTCAAGTTTCGGGAGGCCCAGATTGCTTTGGCGGGTGGTCTGGTCTACTTTGGGCGGGGCCTGCCCTACAAGTGGGCGGTCTTGCCTGCCTTGCCGGATACTCTTGAAGGGGCCCCAGGACACACAAATAAATACACACAAATAAAAACATTCCCCATATTTTCCCATATTTTCTGGGTTTTTGTCTTCCCCCCCACTTCCCATATTTTTCCATATTTTCCTGGGACTCGAGGATTAATTGTGTCTGTGTGTTTCTTTTCCTCTTGATCTTTGGCGACGTCGGGTCTACCTCCAGGTGGCCAAACCCCGTCCTCGACCGTGGGCGCGGCCGTGGGCTCGGCCGTGCCGCCCTCCGCCGAACTGTTCTCGGCGGCCGCGGTGCCGTTCGCGGAGGAGGCGCTGTCCTTCGGGCCGCGACACGCGCGGCGCTTTTTCTCGACCGGTGGCTCCGCAGAGGGGGCGATATCGATATCGGGACTCATGTTGTTCCCATCCTACTTAAGGACCACATCCCAGAAATCCGCCGATCCGGCGTGTGAGTTTCAAGGAGTCTCAGCTACAGCCTCGAGGCTGAGCCTCAGCCTCTGGGGGGGTTGCCGGGGTGGCTCTGCCGGGGAAGGGGGGATGGGGGGGGGGGTGCGAGTTTCCGGCGGATGCGGGGGGGCTGCTTTTACAGAAGGCTCTAATCTCGAGGATGCGCTAAAAGGGTGGCCGCGGCCGCAAAAGTCTCTGAGGACGGTCTAAGAAAGTCCCGAGACCCCGAAAGATCGCCCGAACACGCCCAAGATGGCCCCAAGACGGCCCAAGAGCCTTCCAAGACGTCTGAAGAGGCCTCCAAGAGGCCTCCCACGAGGGCCCCCAGAGGCAAAAATCGTTGACTTCCATTGGTTTTTTCATGTTTTTGGGGTTGTCGTTTTTTTCCGCTTTCCGACGCTCCAAGACGGCCCAAACCGCTCGAAGACGGCCCAGGAGGCCCCCAGACAGTCCCAAGACGGCCCAAGAGGGCCCCAAGGCGGCCCAAAAGCCGCCCAAGACGGCCCGAGAGGCCCCCAAGACGGCCCCAGGAGGACCCAAAAGAGGGACGAAAAGCGGAAAAAATCTAGCCTTCCAGCCCACGAGGCCCCCAGGAGGCCCCAAGAGCCCCCAAGAGGGCCCCCAAAAGCCCCCAAGAAGCCCCCTCGACGCCTTGACAGGCTCCTGTGCGAGTATCTGTGTGTGGTGCGTGTCTGCGAATGTCTGTGCGTGCTAGTGTCTGGCGTGCGCCTAGTGTGTCTCTGTATGTGTGTCTGCCGTATGTGCATTTGGTCGTGTGCGTGCTTGAGGTGTCCGCGTAATCCGCCGATCCGGCGTGTGAGTTTCAAGGAGTCTCAGCTACAGCCTCGAGGCTGAGCTTCAGCCTCTGGGGGGGTCGCCGGGGTGGCTCTGCCGGGGAAGGGGGGGTGGGGGGGGGGGGGGGGGTGCGAGTTTCCGGCGAACCCCGGGGCCGCTCCGGGGGAGTGGAAGATAGGGGGGGGGGGGGCGCCATGCTCCGCTTTTTCCGGCGCTTTGGAGGAGGGGGGGGGCCCAAGAGACCCCCAAGGGGTTCCAAGAGGGCCCCGAGTCGCCGAAAAATCGCTCCAAGACGCCCGAGATGGCCTGCAGACGGCCCAAGGTGTCTCCAAGACGCCCCAAGAAGCTTCCAAGAGGCCTCCCAAGAGGGCCCCAAGAGGCCAGAATCGTTGATTTTCATTGGTTTTTTCAGGGTTTTTAGCGTTCTTGCCTTTTCGGGCGTCCGACGCTCGAAGACGGCCCAAGAGGCCCCCAAGTCCGTCCCAAGACGGCCCACGATGCTTCCAACACGGCCCAAGAGAGCCCCAAGACGGCCCAAGAGGGCCCCAAGACGGCCCAAGAGGGCCTCTGGACAGCCCAAGAAGGCCCCAAGAGAGCCCCAAGAGGGGCCCAAGAGGGGGACCACGAACCGAAAGAACCGAGCTTTCCGCCCCAAGAGGCCCCCAGGAGGCCCCAAGAGACCCCCAAGGGGCCCCAAGAAGCCCACAAGAGGCCCAAAAGAGGTTCCAAGAGGCCCCAAAACAGCTCCCCAGAGGCCTCCAGACTGCCTCCGGCAGGCCCCCGGTTTCTTCCGCGGCACCGCCCAGGGCGCCACCGGCAGGATGTCCTCCGTCTCATCGTTTTCCTTCAAGTTATCGCCTCTTCCTCATTCTCCTCCTCCTCCTCTGCGACCTCACTCCTATCCCTCAACGATCGCGTCACCGAGTGCCTCTTCTTTGAAACATCCTCGCTCTTCAAACGCACATCCATACACACATGCATACATACCTACATTTAAACACATTTGCATACATAGAAAAACAATCTTCCAGACATACATACTTACATTCACACACATACACACATATTATCATACACACATACAAACATACATACAAACTAAATACATACATACGCGCACAAGCATACATACATACATACGTACCTACACACAGGCACACATGATCAATGCATGCATACATGCATGCACGCGTACATACACACACATATATCGTGAAACTCACCGCGTGCTCGAAACTTGAGAGAGACCGCGGGAAGTCGAGAGAAGCCGCGGAACGAGGCCTCTACTACTACTACCACTACTACCACAACACTACTACTACTACTACTACCACTACTACTACTACTACTACTGCTACTACTACTACTACTACTACTACTACTAATACTACTACTAGTACTACAGGTGCGTTTCCCAACTAGTATGTGTGTGTGGGTGATGCTGTGTGCGCATGTCTGCGGCGCAGGTTAAGTGGTGTGACTGTGTGTGTGCGTTTGAGTGTGCGCCCATAATTTCTGCGTCTGGAGAATAACCCCGAGCGACCCGGATCGGCGGCACTGGCCGAAGGCCACTACAATATGTGTATCCGAGCGACCCAGATCGGCGGCACTGGCCGAAGGCCACTACAATAATTTCGAGCACCCAGAAAAGTGTCGAAAGAGTGCCGAAAGAGTGTCGAAACAGTGTCGAAAGAGTGTTGGGCGAGTGTCTCCCGGGGCCCGACACGTGAAAACCCGTGAGTTTCGGTACTTTTTTGGGCGCTCGAAATTCTTCCAAGGCTAAAGTAGGTTGGAGCATCAGAAGTATCGGCTATCGATGCCGATGTCGGCGGGCGGCCCGCCCGAATGCCGCAGCGGCACAGAAATCGGAAACGAATCGGGCAGCATCGGCACGGAGTCTGAAACGAACCGCATCGGCCGCGCCTCCGGGGCTCCACATTGCGAGACAAATCGGGCCGTCGGGGGTCTGGGTTCGGTCTGGAGGTCGTGCGGAGGGGCTGCCCAAGCCCCTGATCCAAGATCAATCGACATCGTGTCTGAGAATCGGATCGATCGAAGTGTGCGCCGAATCGGGCATCATCGGCACGGAGTCTGCAACGAACCGCATCGGCCGCGCCTCAGGATGCACGACGGCGCCGTGCAAGCACCGAGTCGCACCGGACCGCTGCAGGTGTCGGAATCGACTCGGATCGGGCCGGCCGGACTCGTTACCGAGTCGGATCGGTCGGAGAGAGATCGGCCCTGTCAGGTCACCCGTCTTCGCGCCCCGCGCTCCGCGACGCCTGGCATGCCTCCGCGCTCTCGCGCCGCCGCCCAGGAGAAGGGCGCCCCCGGCGGCCCAGGCCGCGGCGCGCGAAGCGCAGGCGCCCTCGCGCCACCGCGGGCGAGCCCGGGTGCCTCCCGGGCAGTGGCGCGAGGCTCTCTGTGGGTCGGACGAGGGAGGGGGGGGGGGGAATGGCCAAAGGGGGGGCAGCGTCAGGTCGGGCACGTCCTCCCACGGGCGGACTGTGGACGAACCGCAAACACTGGCCAAGAACTACGCAAACGCAGCCAACACAAAGCTCAAACCACTCGCTCCTAGACTATTTGGCTTACCCTCTTTGACTACGCCTCCTGCAGGGGGGCATGCCCGACTCAGGGGTGGCGGATCAGAAGCAGTCGGCACCTCCCGGCGCCGGGAGGCGCCAGCACGTCGAGGAGCCGCGCCAGGCGGAGGGGCCGAAGCCGGCCCAAAAGTCGTGCGGCCCCCGCTCATGAAGGGGCCCTGGGACACACAAGTAAAAAGACCCAAACCCCAGGATTCCCCACATGTTCTCAGATCTTCTGGATTCTCGCCTCCCCCCCCGACTCCCATAGTTCCCCATTGATTTTCGTCATAGTTCCCCGTCTTTCCCTGGGGACCAGCGATTCGTTGCGTCTGTGTGATTTTCCCCTCCGGAGCCTGGTCCGCCCCGAGAGGCGCCCGGGCTCCTCTCGGAGCTCGGAGCCCGCGGGGCCGCGGAACCCGGCGGACGGGCGCAGAGCCCCTCGCGCTGCGACAAAAATCGCGACGGGGGGCCTCCCGCTGCGTTCGGCCTCTGTCGGGGGGCCCGTCCCGGGCCTCGGGGCAGCCAGGAAACGACTCGGGAGGAGATGGGCCCAAGCGTCGGGGATCGACGGACCTGGGTCCATCCAGGCCCGGGCCCAGTCAGGACCCTGCAGAGGGCCCCTGCCAGGATCCTGCGCCCCAGCTGACCCGGGTCGGTGCGGCCCTGGCGCGGCAGGATCCTGCGAGATCCGGCGCTCTGGCGGACCCCCGCTCGCACGGACCCCGAAGACGACTCGGGGCGGAACGCCCGGCCCGGTGCCACGCGGCGGAGAGCTCCCGGCGTGGGAGGTCTGGGAAGGCACCTGCACGCCACCACGTGCCTGGCCAGGGCCAGGCATGGGCACGGCGGTGGCGGCTCAGGCGTCTTCCGCGGATCGCTGGGCCACCGGATCTCGCGCATCGCGCCCCGCGGGTGCGCGACGCGCGGTCGTCTTCGCGCCCTCGCGCTGTCTGCCCCCCTGCGGGCGACCTGGAGCTACAGTGGACTCCAGGACATCGATCGCGCTCATCCTCCCTCTCTCTCTCTCCCTCTCCCTCTCTCTCTCTCTCTCTCTCTCTCCGCCTGCTCCTCCACTCTGATCCTCCTGCTCGTTCTGCCTCCCCTGCTCCGCTCTCGCACTCCGCACACGATGCAGGGGGAAGGAGGGGAGGCAGCAAGAGCAGCAACTACACAGACCCAGGACCACCGACGCCGTGTTCTCCTTCACAACGGGGATTCCAATCTCGACTTCTTTCCGAACCAGCTTGTCACCCTGAGGCGTTTCCTGACGGCCCCGGGGCCCTGTGAGAGCAGAAAATTCGTCTGGCGAAGGACCCAACCATACCATGAGCAGTGATACGTACCGCAGTTGTGAGTACCGTCTTCGGTGGATCCTCCTATGCGGCCACGAAACGTTTGAGGGGTGTGCCAAAGCGGCCCGTCGGCGGCAGGCGGCCTTTTCCACTGGGGCTTTCGGTGGAGCTCCCCATGGGGCCACGAAACGTGCGAGGGTGTGCAGAAATGAGGCGGCACCGACATGCGGATCCTGCCGCTGCGGCCTCCGGTGGCGCCGCCTCAAGCCACGAAACGTGCGAGGGGTGCTCCAAAATGTGGAATGGAACCGCATGCGGGCGCTGCCACTGGGGCCTCAGGTGGAGCACCCTGTGAGGGGTTCGCCGAAATGAAAGGGTGAAACCGCATGCGAACGCAGCCGCTGGGGCCTTCGGTAGAGCTCCCTGTGGGGCCACGAGACGTATGACGGATGTGCCGAAATTGTGAGCTGGCGGCTTGCGAAGGCAGCCACTTGGGCCTTCGGTGGAGCTCCCTATGCGCCCACGAAACGCTGTACTGGGTGTGCCGCCGACACAGAAACATGCGGAGGGCAGAGGCAAGGAGGGGGAGGAGGGAGGAGGGGGAGGAGGAGAGGAGAGGATGAGACGCGGGGCGCTGTCTCTTCAAAACGAGGACCCAACACCACAGGATGGTTGGAAAAATTGCTAATACCGACGGTCGTGTTCTTCTCCACGACGCGAGGAAGACTGGGCCCAGGGGACGACCATCGACTCCCTGAGCTCTACGGGGGCGCGTTATGGCCTGAATCTGGAGGCGGCTCCAGCCGTGACAACGAGAAGTCGCTCGGAGGCTCAGAAGGGGCGAAGAGCGTCCACAAATGCGAGGCAGGGACCTGTCCACATCCACCGCCCGGGGAACCAGTGTCCCCGGGGTGGATGTTGCTATAATTGGGCCCAAGGGAGCCGGAACCGTGGGACAGGGCACCATTAGCTAGAGAGGTCTCGTGACCACTGGAGGGGGGGGGCCGGATTTGTCCGCCCCTGTTTCGCCACACACATTGCCGGTGCACATGTCGAGATACGCAGAAGCGTACGTGAGCCCGTGCTGCGTGGTGCGTGAGGCATAGCACAGCGCGGCGTAGATTTGCCTCGCATGTGTGAGAACACATTGTTCGGTATGCTGGCCCAGCTTCGATCGGCCACGCGGCCCGGACAGCAGTGCACAGTTCTGAGAGTGTGTGATGGGCTCGCCCTTCTGGCAGCGGTAGGGGTTGCAACGCCCCTCTCGCTCCAGACACGGCGTCGTCTCTAAACATTGGCTCAAGGTGCGAGTCACGAGGAAGAACGGTACACACGCGAAACGAAGAAGAACAGCAGCGCCGTCTCTTGGCCCGCGTGGCCACCAACGTGTCATCCATACTATCCCCTCACCTTCGCACCTCACATCCCTCTTGACCCCAACACATCACACCATTTCCCTGAAAGCCCATCCGTGGCACGAGAGATACTGACCCTCCTGTCTGAGGGCACTGGCGTGCATGAGCTTCTGGATAGATTCGGGGACAGGTGAAAATGGCAGAGGATACGAACATGATTGCAAGCGAACTTGCCCATATCCACCGCCTGCCGAGGTCCCCCCAAAGATCGACCCTGGGTCGACGGTTCAGGGTAACCCCCCGGGCTCGGGAAAGGAAAACTCGATCCTCGAAACTGGACCTCCGGAGATGGGGGTGGCGGCCAGGTCCTGGGCAGTGGGCGCGGGCGTGGGCGCGGCCGCGGTGCCATTCGCCGAAGCGTTCGCGGTGTCGCTCGCCGCGGTGCCGTTCGCGGCCGCGCTGCTCTCGGCCGCGGTGTCGTTCGCCGAGCCGTCCTCGGGACTCGCGGCCCGCGGGGGCTGCTCGGTGGCGCAGGCGCGCGCCAGAGCGCGCCCGAGCTCCCTGGCCGACACGCCTGCCAGAGCACGCCACATGCACGCACGCCCGTGCGGGGCGCTGCGCGCGCGACTATGGCCCCCCTGCTGCCCATCGGCCTTGGGCGGTCTTCCGCGGTCTTCAGCTGTCTTCTGACGGTCATGGGCGGTCTGCGGTCGTCTTCGGCGGCTTCTGGAGGTCTTCGGCGGCCTTCGCCGCGAAGGCTGGGTGGCTTCGTCCAACAAGGCGCCAACTACCGAAACACCGATCAGAGCGTAAAATATGGCAGAGAGAAGCCAACATGACAGCGGTCCGCTAGTCGACCTGAGCACAGGCCGTCGAGCTGCTCCGACCTGGGCAGTCGTTAAACCTGCTCTGAGCACGCCCGCTGCAAGCAGGCGCAAGGCGTAGAGCCTTGCTCGCCGAGACTCGAATCGATAGAGTCTGGGGTGCTTCTCTGTGTCTCTCGAATGAGCGATGAAAAGAGCGGGGCCCTACGCAGGATGATATCGCGACCTGGCGCGGGCATTGTACGCGCGAATGTCCGCACAGTTCTAGTCGTAACAGCGAAGAACCACACTGCGGTCGAAGGCAGCTGACGGAGACTACGGTGCCTAACTGGGCAGAAGAGGCACAGAGGGAGAAAAGCGCGCGGAAATGAGGAGGAGCACGGTCAGAGCAGGAGGTTCTTGAACGTGTGTGCTGGAGCACGGTGTGCACAGCGGAGACGTGGACGTTTTTCAGCGTCGCTCAAATGACGGCCGCGGGGAAAAGGCCTCCCCTTTCCCAGACGCCCTCGGCGTCGTGAAGAGACCACGACGGAAGGTCTTGCAGCAATGCTCGCACTCTAGGGGCCATGTTCAGGCACTGGGGCCTTGAGCAAATGGATCGAGATGGGGCAAGACTGTTCCCTGGAAAGCGTCGGGACCTCCGGGGCTCCACATTGCGAGACAAATCGGGCCGTCGGGGGTCTGGGTTCGGTCTGGAGGTCGTGCGGAGGGGCTGCCCAAGCCCCTGATCCAAGATCAATCGACATCGTGTCTGAGGATCGGATCGATCGAAGTGTGCGCCGAATCGGGCAGCATCGGCACGGAGTCTGCAACGAACCGCATCGGCCGCGCCTCAGGATGCACGACGGCGCCGTGCAAGCATCGAGTCGCACCGGACCGCTGCAGGTGTCGGAATCGACTCGGATCGGGCCGGCCGGACTCGTTACCGAGTCGGATCGGTCGGAGAGAGATCGGCCCTGTCAGGTCACCCGTCTTCGCGCCCCGCGCTGCGCGACGCCTGGCATGCCTCCGCGCTCTCGCGCCGCCGCCCAGGAGAAGGGCGCCCCCGGCGGCCCAGGCCGCGGCGCGCGAAGCGCAGGCGCCCTCGCGCCACCGCGGGCGAGCCCGGGTGCCTCCCGGGCAGTGGCGCGAGGCTCTCTGTGGGTCGGACGAGGGAGGGGGGGGGGGGAATGGCCAAAGGGGGGGCAGCGTCAGGTCGGGCACGTCCTCCCACGGGCGGACTGTGGACGAACCGCAAACACTGGCCAAGAACTACGCAAACGCAGCCAACACAAAGTTCAAACCACTCGCTCCTAGACTATTTGGCTTACCCTCTTTGACTATGCCTCCTGCAGGGGGGCATGCCCGACTCAGGGGTGGCGGATCAGAAGCAGTCGGCACCTCCCGGCGCCTGGAGGCGCCAGCACGTCGAGGAGCCGCGCCAGGCGGAGGGGCCGAAGCCGGCCCCAAAGTCGTGCGGCCCCCGCTCATGAAGGGGCCCTGGGACACACAAGTAAAAAGACCCAAACCCCAGGATTCCCCACATGTTCTCAGACCTTCTGGATTCTCGCCTCCCCCCCCGACTCCCATAGTTCCCCATTGATATCGTCAAAGTTTCCCGTCTTCCTGTGACCGGCGATTCGTTGCGTCTGTGTGATTTTCCCCTCTGGAGCCTGGCCGACCCCGTGAGGCCCCGCCTCCCTCGGAGCTCGGTGCCCGCGGGGCCGCGGACCGGCGGACGGGCAGCCAGGAAACGACACGGGAGGAACGGCCGTCCCGGAAGGTCCAAACCCCTGTGCGGACCTTGCGAAAAGATCACGCCGTCGCTGGGTCCAGGGTTTTTGCCGGTTCCAGCACCCCGGAGGCCCTCCACTGGCACAGGATGGCCCAAGCGTCGGGGATCGACGGACCTGGGTCCATCTAGGCCCTGGCCAGTCAGGACCCTGCAGGGCCCCTGCCAGATCCTGGCCCCATCGACCCGGTCTGTGCGGCCCGGCGCTGCAGGATCCTGCGAGATCCTCCGCTGACGGACCCCCCCTCTGCACGGACCCGAAGACGCGGGCGAACGCCCGGCCCGTGCCACGCGGCGGAGAGCTCCCGGCGTGGGAGGTCTGGGAAGGCACCTGCACGCCACCACTTGCCAGGCCAGGGCCAGGCATGGGCCGGCAGCTCAAGTTCCGCTAATCGCTGGGCCACCGCGATCCGCGCATCGCGCCCCGCGGTGCGCGACGCGCGGTCACCTTCGCGCCCTCGCGCTGTCTGCCCCCCGCGGGCGACCTGAGCTACAGTGGACTCCAGGACATCGATCGCGCGCATCCTCCCTCTCTCTCTCTCCCTCTCTCTCCCTCTCTCTCTCTCTCTCGCCTGCTCCTCCACTCTGTCCTCCTGCTCGTTCTGCTGCCCTGCTCCGCTCTCGCACTCCGCACACATGCAGGGGAAGGAGGGGAGGCAGCAAGAGCAGCAACTACACAGACCCAGACCAAGACGCCGTGTTCTCCTTCGCAACGTGGATTCCAATCTCGACTTCTTTCCGAACCAGCTTGTCACCCTGAGTCGTTTCCTGACGGTCCCGGGGCCCTGTGAGAGCAGAAAATTCGTCTGGCGAAGGACCCAACCATACCATGAGCAGTGATACGTACCGCAGTTGTGAGTACCGTCTTCGGTGGATCCTCCTATGCGGCCACGAAACGTTTGAGGGGTGTGCCAAAGCGGCCCGTCGGCGGCAGGCGGCCTTTTCCACTGGGGCTTTCGGTGGAGCTCCCCATGGGGCCACGAAACGTGCGAGGGTGTGCAGAAATGAGGCGGCACCGACATGCGGATCCTGCCGCTGCGGCCTCCGGTGGCGCCGCCTCAAGCCACGAAACGTGCGAGGGGTGCTCCAAAATGTGGGATGGAACCGCATGCGGGCGCTGCCACTGGGGCCTCAGGTGGAGCACCCTGTGAGGGGTTCGCCGAAATGAAAGGGTGGAACCGCATGCGAATGCAGCCACTGGGGCCTTCGGTAGAGCTCCCTGTGGGGCCACGAGACGTATGACGGATGTGTCGAAATTGTGAGCTGGCGGCTTGCGAAGGCAGCCACTGGGGCCTTCGGTGGAGCTCCCTGTGCGCCCACGAAACGCTGTACCGGGTGTGCCGCCGACACAGAAACATGCGGATGGCAGAGGCAAGGAGGGGGAGAAGGGAGGAGGGGGAGGAGGGGAGGAGAGGAAGAGACGCGGGGCGCTGTCTCTTCAAAACGAGTACCCAACACCACAGGACGGTTGGGAAAATTGCTAATACCGACGGTCGTGTTCTTCTCCACGACGCGAGGAAGACTGGGCCCAGGGGACGACCATCGACTCCCTGAGCTCTACGGGGGCGCGTTATGGCCTGAATCTGGAGGCGGCTCCAGCCGTGACAACGAGAAGTCGCTCGGAGGCTCAGAAGGGGCGAAGAGCGTCCACAAATGCGAGGCAGGGACCTGTCCACATCCACCGCCCGGGGAACCAGTGTCCCCGGGGTGGATGTTGCTATAATTGGGCCCAAGGGAGCCCGAACCGTGGGACAGGGCACCATTAGCTAGAGAGGTCTCGTGACCACTGGAGGGGGGGGGCCGGATTTGTCCGCCCCTGTTTCGCCACACACATTGCCGGTGCACATGTCGAGAATACGCAGAAGCGTACGTGAGCCCGTGCTGCGTGGTGCGTGAGGCATAGCACAGCGCGGCGTAGATTTGCCTCGCATGTGTGAGAACACATTGTTCGGTATGCTGGCCCAGCTTCGATCGGCCACGCGGCCCGGACAGCAGTGCACGGTTCTGAGAGTGTGTGATGGGCTCGCCCTTCTGGCAGCGGTAGGGGTTGCAACGCCCCTCTCGCTCCAGACACGGCGTCGTCTCTAAACATTGGCTCAAGGTGCGAGTCACGAGGAAGAACGGTACACACGCGAAACGAAGAAGAACAGCAGCGCCGTCTCTTGGCCCGCGTGGCCACCAACGTGTCATCCTTACTATCCCCTCACCTTCGCATCTCACATCCCTCTCGACCCCAACACATCACACCATTTCCCTGAAAGCCCATCCGTGGCACGAGAGATACTGACCCTCCTGTCTGAGGGCACTGGCGTGCATGAGCTTCTGGATAGATTCGGGGACAGGCGAAAATGGCAGAGGATACGAACATGATTGCAAGCGAACTTGCCCATATCCACCGCCTGCCGAGGTCCCCGAAGATAGACCCTGGGTCGACGGTTCAGGATAACCCCCCGGCTCGGGAAAGGAAAACTCGATCCTCGAAACTGGACCTCCGGAGATGGGGGTGGCGGCCAGGTCCTGGGCAGTGGGCGCGGGCGTGGGCGCGGCCGCGGTGCCATTCGCCGAAGCGTTCGCGGTGTCGTTCGCCGCGGTGCCGTTCGCGGCCGCGCTGCTCTCGGCCGCGGTGTCGTTCGCCGAGCCGTCCTCGGGACTCGCGGCCCGCGGGGGCTGCTCGGTGGCGCAGGCGCGCGCCAGAGCGCGCCCGAGCTCCCTGGCCGACACGCCTGCCAGAGCACGCCACATGCACGCACGCCCGTGCGGGGCGCTGCGCGTGCGACTATGGCCCCCCTGCTGCCCATCGGCATTGGGCGGTCTTCCGCGGTCTTCAGCTGTCTTCTGACGGTCTTGGGCGGTCTGCGGTCGTCTTCGGCGGCTTCTGGAGGTCTTCGGCGGCCTTCGCCGCGAAGGCTGGGTGGCTTCGTCCAACAAGGCGCCAACTACCGAAACACCGATCAGAGCGTAAAATATGGCAGAGAGAAGCCAACATGACAGCGGTCCGCTAGTCGACCTGAGCAGGCCGTCGAGCTGCTCCGACCTGGGCAGTCGTTAAACCTGCTCTGAGCACGCCCGCTGCAAGCAGGCGCAAGGCGTAGAGCCTTGCTCGCCGAGACTCGAATCGATAGAGTCTGGGGTGCTTCTCTGTGTCTCTCGAATGAGCGATGAAAAGAGCGGGGCCCTACGCAGGATGATATCGCGACCTGGCGCGGGCATTGTACGCGCGAATGTCCGCACAGTTCTAGTCGTAACAGCGAAGAACCACACTGCGGTCGAAGGCAGCTGACGGAGACTACGGTGCCTAACTGGGCAGAAGAGGCACAGAGGGAGAAAAGCGCGCGGAAATGAGGAGGAGCACGGTCAGAGCAGGAGGTTCTTGAACGTGTGTGCTGGAGCACGGTGTGCACAGCGGAGACGTGGACGTTTTTCAGCGTCGCTCAAATGACGGCCGCGGGGAAAAGGCCTCCCCTTTCCCAGACGCCCTCGGCGTCGTGAAGAGACCACGACGGAAGGTCTTGCAGCAATGCTCGCACTCTAGGGGCCATGTTCAGGCACTGGGGCCTTGAGCAAATGGATCGAGATGGGGCAAGACTGTTCCCTGGAAAGCGTCGGGACCTCCGGGGCTCCACATTGCGAGACAAATCGGGCCGTCGGGGGTCTGGGTTCGGTCTGGAGGTCGTGCGGAGGGGCTGCCCAAGCCCCTGATCCAAGATCAATCGACATCGTGTCTGAGGATCGGATCGATCGAAGTGTGCGCCGAATCGGGCAGCATCGGCACGGAGTCTGCAACGAACCGCATCGGCCGCGCCTCAGGATGCACGACGGCGCCGTGCAAGCATCGAGTCGCACCCGACCGCTGCAGAAGTGAACCCCACCCTCCCCCTCAGAAATCGTGTGGGGTAGGGGTCGGGCTCGCAATGTGGCCCCCTAGCTCGAGCGCCGATAGTTCTTCCGCTGGGCGCCCCTCCGCAGTCTTCCACTCCAGTCCTGACAGTCCCCTGCCGCGCTCCGCCCCCCAGCGTTTGCCCCCCACCGCCGCCGCTGCCGGTCCTCCGTGGCATCCTTCTACCGGAATCGACTCGGATCGGGCCGGCCGGACTCGTTACCGAGTCGGATCGGTCGGAGAGAGATCGGCCCTGTCAGGTCACCCGTCTTCGCGCCCCGCGCTCCGCGACGCCTGGCATGCCTCCGCGCTCTCGCGCCGCCGCCCAGGAGAAGGGCGCCCCCGGCGGCCCAGGCCGCGGCGCGCGAAGCGCAGGCGCCCTCGCGCCACCGCGGGCGAGCCCGGGTGCCTCCCGGGCAGTGGCGCGAGGCTCTCTGTGGGTCGGACGAGGGAGGGGGGCGGGGGGAATGGCAAAAGGGGGGGCAGCGTCAGGTCGGGCACGTCCTCCCACGGGCGGACTGTGGACGAACCGCAAACACTGGCCAAGAACTACGCAAACGCAGCCAACACAAAGCTCAAACCACTCGCTCCTAGACTATTTGGCTTACCCTCTTTGACTATGCCTCCTGCAGGGGGGCATGCCCGACTCAGGGGTGGCGGATCAGAAGCAGTCGGCACCTCCCGGCGCCGGGAGGCGCCAGCACGTCGAGGAGCCGCGCCAGGCGGAGGGGCCGAAGCCGGCCCCAAAGTCGTGCGGCCCCCGCTCATGAAGGGGCCCTGGGACACACAAGTAAAAAGACCCAAACCCCAGGATTCCCCACATGTTCTCAGACCTTCTGGATTCTCGCCTCCCCCCCCGACTCCCATAGTTCCCCATTGATTTTCGTCATAGTTCCCCGTCTTTCCCTGGGGACCGGCGATTCGTTGCGTCTGTGTGATTTTCCCCTCTGGAGCCTGGTCCGCCCCGAGAGGCGCCCGGGCTCCTCTCGGAGCTCGGTGCCCGCGGGGCCGCGGAACCCGGCGGACGGGCAGCCAGGAAACGACTCGGGAGGAACGGCCGGTCCCGGGGAAGGGGTCCAAACCCCTGGGTGCGGACCTTGCGAAAAGATCACGCCGTCGCTGGGTCCGGGTTTTTGCCGGTTCCAGCACCCCGGAGGCCCTCCACTGGGCACAAGGATGGGCCCAAGCGTCGGGGATCGACGGACCTGGGTCCATCCAGGCCCGGGCCAGTCAGGACCCTGCAGGGCCCCTGCCAGATCCTGCGCCCCAGCTGACCCGGGTCGGTGCGGCCCTGGCGCGGCAGGATCCTGCGAGATCCGGCGCTCTGACGGACCCCCCGCTCGCACGGACCCCGAAGACGACTCGGGGCGGAACGCCCGGCCCGGTGCCACGCGGCGGAGAGCTCCCGGCGTGGGAGGTCTGGGAAGGCACCTGCACGCCACCACGTGCCTGGCCAGGGCCAGGCATGGGCACGGCGGTGGCGGCTCAGGCGTCTTCCGCGGATCGCTGGGCCACCGGATCTCGCGCATCGCGCCCCGCGGGTGCGCGACGCGCGGTCACCTTCGCGCCCTCGCGCTGTCTGCCCCCCTGCGGGCGACCTGAGCTACAGTGGACTCCAGGACATCGATCGCGCTCATCCTCCCTCTCTCTCTCTCCCTCTCTCTCCCTCTCTCTCTCTCTCTCCGCCTGCTCCTCCACTCTGATCCTCCTGCTCGTTCTGCCTCCCCTGCTCCGCTCTCGCACTCCGCACACGATGCAGGGGGAAGGAGGGGAGGCAGCAAGAGCAGCAACTACACAGACCCAGACCACCGACGCCGTGTTCTCCTTCGCAACGTGGATTCCAATCTCGACTTCTTTCCGAACCAGCTTGTCACCCTGAGTCGTTTCCTGACGGTCCCGGGGCCCTGTGAGAGCAGAAAATTCGTCTGGCGAAGGACCCAACCATACCATGAGCAGTGATACGTACCGCAGTTGTGAGTACCGTCTTCGGTGGATCCTCCTATGCGGCCACGAAACGTTTGAGGGGTGTGCCAAAGCGGCCCGTCGGCGGCAGGCGGCCTTTTCCACTGGGGCTTTCGGTGGAGCTCCCCATGGGGCCACGAAACGTGCGAGGGTGTGCAGAAATGAGGCGGCACCGACATGCGGATCCTGCCGCTGCGGCCTCCGGTGGCGCCGCCTCAAGCCACGAAACGTGCGAGGGGTGCTCCAAAATGTGGGATGGAACCGCATGCGGGCGCTGCCACTGGGGCCTCAGGTGGAGCACCCTGTGAGGGGTTCGCCGAAATGAAAGGGTGGAACCGCATGCGAATGCAGCCACTGGGGCCTTCGGTAGAGCTCCCTGTGGGGCCACGAGACGTATGACGGATGTGTCGAAATTGTGAGCTGGCGGCTTGCGAAGGCAGCCACTGGGGCCTTCGGTGGAGCTCCCTGTGCGCCCACGAAACGCTGTACCGGGTGTGCCGCCGACACAGAAACATGCGGATGGCAGAGGCAAGGAGGGGGAGAAGGGAGGAGGGGGAGGAGGGGAGGAGAGGAAGAGACGCGGGGCGCTGTCTCTTCAAAACGAGTACCCAACACCACAGGACGGTTGGGAAAATTGCTAATACCGACGGTCGTGTTCTTCTCCACGACGCGAGGAAGACTGGGCCCAGGGGACGACCATCGACTCCCTGAGCTCTACGGGGGCGCGTTATGGCCTGAATCTGGAGGCGGCTCCAGCCGTGACAACGAGAAGTCGCTCGGAGGCTCAGAAGGGGCGAAGAGCGTCCACAAATGCGAGGCAGGGACCTGTCCACATCCACCGCCCGGGGAACCAGTGTCCCCGGGGTGGATGTTGCTATAATTGGGCCCAAGGGAGCCCGTACCGTGGGACAGGGCACCATTAGCTAGAGAGGTCTCGTGACCACTGGAGGGGGGGGGCCGGATTTGTCCGCCCCTGTTTCGCCACACACATTGCCGGTGCACATGTCGAGAATACGCAGAAGCGTACGTGAGCCCGTGCTGCGTGGTGCGTGAGGCATAGCACAGCGCGGCGTAGATTTGCCTCGCATGTGTGAGAACACATTGTTCGGTATGCTGGCCCAGCTTCGATCGGCCACGCGGCCCGGACAGCAGTGCACGGTTCTGAGAGTGTGTGATGGGCTCGCCCTTCTGGCAGCGGTAGGGGTTGCAACGCCCCTCTCGCTCCAGACACGGCGTCGTCTCTAAACATTGGCTCAAGGTGCGAGTCACGAGGAAGAACGGTACACACGCGAAACGAAGAAGAACAGCAGCGCCGTCTCTTGGCCCGCGTGGCCACCAACGTGTCATCCTTACTATCCCCTCACCTTCGCATCTCACATCCCTCTCGACCCCAACACATCACACCATTTCCCTGAAAGCCCATCCGTGGCACGAGAGATACTGACCCTCCTGTCTGAGGGCACTGGCGTGCATGAGCTTCTGGATAGATTCGGGGACAGGCGAAAATGGCAGAGGATACGAACATGATTGCAAGCGAACTTGCCCATATCCACCGCCTGCCGAGGTCCCCCCGAAGATAGACCCTGGGTCGACGGTTCAGGATAACCCCCCGGGCTCGGGAAAGGAAAACTCGATCCTCGAAACTGGACCTCCGGAGATGGGGGTGGCGGCCAGGTCCTGGGCAGTGGGCGCGGGCGTGGGCGCGGCCGCGGTGCCATTCGCCGAAGCGTTCGCGGTGTCGTTCGCCGCGGTGCCGTTCGCGGCCGCGCTGCTCTCGGCCGCGGTGTCGTTCGCCGAGCCGTCCTCGGGACTCGCGGCCCGCGGGGGCTGCTCGGTGGCGCAGGCGCGCGCCAGAGCGCGCCCGAGCTCCCTGGCCGACACGCCTGCCAGAGCACGCCACATGCACGCACGCCCGTGCGGGGCGCTGCGCGTGCGACTATGGCCCCCCTGCTGCCCATCGGCATTGGGCGGTCTTCCGCGGTCTTCAGCTGTCTTCTGACGGTCTTGGGCGGTCTGCGGTCGTCTTCGGCGGCTTCTGGAGGTCTTCGGCGGCCTTCGCCGCGAAGGCTGGGTGGCTTCGTCCAACAAGGCGCCAACTACCGAAACACCGATCAGAGCGTAAAATATGGCAGAGAGAAGCCAACATGACAGCGGTCCGCTAGTCGACCTGAGCAGGCCGTCGAGCTGCTCCGACCTGGGCAGTCGTTAAACCTGCTCTGAGCACGCCCGCTGCAAGCAGGCGCAAGGCGTAGAGCCTTGCTCGCCGAGACTCGAATCGATAGAGTCTGGGGTGCTTCTCTGTGTCTCTCGAATGAGCGATGAAAAGAGCGGGGCCCTACGCAGGATGATATCGCGACCTGGCGCGGGCATTGTACGCGCGAATGTCCGCACAGTTCTAGTCGTAACAGCGAAGAACCACACTGCGGTCGAAGGCAGCTGACGGAGACTACGGTGCCTAACTGGGCAGAAGAGGCACAGAGGGAGAAAAGCGCGCGGAAATGAGGAGGAGCACGGTCAGAGCAGGAGGTTCTTGAACGTGTGTGCTGGAGCACGGTGTGCACAGCGGAGACGTGGACGTTTTTCAGCGTCGCTCAAATGACGGCCGCGGGGAAAAGGCCTCCCCTTTCCCAGACGCCCTCGGCGTCGTGAAGAGACCACGACGGAAGGTCTTGCAGCAATGCTCGCACTCTAGGGGCCATGTTCAGGCACTGGGGCCTTGAGCAAATGGATCGAGATGGGGCAAGACTGTTCCCTGGAAAGCGTCGGGACCTCCGGGGCTCCACATTGCGAGACAAATCGGGCCGTCGGGGGTCTGGGTTCGGTCTGGAGGTCGTGCGGAGGGGCTGCCCAAGCCCCTGATCCAAGATCAATCGACATCGTGTCTGAGGATCGGATCGATCGAAGTGTGCGCCGAATCGGGCAGCATCGGCACGGAGTCTGCAACGAACCGCATCGGCCGCGCCTCAGGATGCACGACGGCGCCGTGCAAGCATCGAGTCGCACCCGACCGCTGCAGAAGTGAACCCCACCCTCCCCCTCAGAAATCGTGTGGGGTAGGGGTCGGGCTCGCAATGTGGCCCCCTAGCTCGAGCGCCGATAGTTCTTCCGCTGGGCGCCCCTCCGCAGTCTTCCACTCCAGTCCTGACAGTCCCCTGCCGCGCTCCGCCCCCCAGCGTTTGCCCCCCACCGCCGCCGCTGCCGGTCCTCCGTGGCATCCTTCTACCGGAATCGACTCGGATCGGGCCGGCCGGACTCGTTACCGAGTCGGATCGGTCGGAGAGAGATCGGCCCTGTCAGGTCACCCGTCTTCGCGCCCCGCGCTCCGCGACGCCTGGCATGCCTCCGCGCTCTCGCGCCGCCGCCCAGGAGAAGGGCGCCCCCGGCGGCCCAGGCCGCGGCGCGCGAAGCGCAGGCGCCCTCGCGCCACCGCGGGCGAGCCCGGGTGCCTCCCGGGCAGTGGCGCGAGGCTCTCTGTGGGTCGGACGAGGGAGGGGGGGCGGGGGGAATGGCAAAAGGGGGGGCAGCGTCAGGTCGGGCACGTCCTCCCACGGGCGGACTGTGGACGAACCGCAAACACTGGCCAAGAACTACGCCAACGCAGCCAACACAAAGCTCAAACCACTCGCTCCTAGACTATTTGGCTTACCCTCTTTGACTATGCCTCCTGCAGGGGGGCATGCCCGACTCAGGGGTGGCGGATCAGAAGCAGTCGGCACCTCCCGGCGCCGGGAGGCGCCAGCACGTCGAGGAGCCGCGCCAGGCGGAGGGGCCGAAGCCGGCCCCAAAGTCGTGCGGCCCCCGCTCACGAAGGGGCCCTGGGACACACAAGTAAAAAGACCCAAACCCCAGGATTCCCCACATGTTCTCAGATCTTCTGGATTCTCGCCTCCCCCCCCGACTCCCATAGTTCCCCATTGATGTTCGTCATAGTTCCCCGTCTTTCCCTGGGGACCGGCGATTCGTTGCGCCTGTGTGATTTTCCCCTCCGGAGCCTGGTCCGCCCCGAGAGGCGCCCGGGCTCCTCTCGGAGCTCGGAGCCCGCGGGGCCGCGGAACCCGGCGGACGGGCAGCCAGGAAACGACTCGGGAGGAACGGCCGGTCCCGGGGAAGGGGTCCAACCCCTGGGTGCGGACCTTGCGAAAAGATCACGCCGTCGCTGGGTCCAAGCGTCGGGCAGCGACGGACCTGGGTCCATCCAGGCCTGGGCCAGTCAGGACCCTGCAGGGCCCCTGCCAGATCCTGCGCCCCAGTTGACCCGGGTCACTGCGGCCCTGGCGCGGCAGGATCCTGCGAGATCCGGCGCGCTGACGGACCCCCGCTTGCACGGACCCCGAAGACGACTCGGGGCGGAACGCCCGGCCCGGTGCCACGCGGCGGAGAGCTCCCGGCGTGGGAGGCACCTGCACGCCACCACGTGCCTGGCCAGGGCCAGGCATGGGCACGGCGGTGGCGGCTCAGGCGTCTTCCGCGGATCGCTGGGCCACCGGATCTCGCGCATCGCGCCCCGCGGGTGCGCGACGCGCGGTCATCTTCGCGCCCTCGCGCTGTCTGCCCCCCTGCGGGCGACCTGAGCTACAGTGGACTCCAGGACATCGATCGCGCTCATCCTCCCTCTCTCTCTCTCTCCCTCTCTCTCTCTCTCTCTCCGCCTGCTCCTCCACTCTGATCCTCCTGCTCGTTCTGCCTCCCCTGCTCCGCTCTCGCACTCCGCACACGATGCAGGGGGAAGGAGGGGAGGCAGCAAGAGCAGCAACTACACAGACCCAGACCACCGACGCCGTGTTCTCCTTCACAACGTGGATTCCAATCTCGACTTCTTTCCGAACCAGCTTGTCACCCTGAGTCGTTTCCTGACGGTCCCGGGGCCCTGTGAGAGCAGAAAATTCGTCTGGCGAAGGACCCAACCATACCATGAGCAGTGATACGAACCGCAGTTGTGAGTACCGTCTTCGGTGGATCCTCCTATGCGGCCACGAAACGTTTGAGGGGTGTGCCAAAGCGGCCCGTCGGCGGCAGGCGGCCTTTTCCACTGGGGCTTTCGGTGGAGCTCCCCATGGGGCCACGAAACGTGCGAGGGTGTGCAGAAATGAGGCGGCACCGACATGCGGATCCTGCCGCTGCGGCCTCCGGTGGCGCCGCCTCAAGCCACGAAACGTGCGAGGGGTGCTCCAAAATGTGGAATGGAACCGCATGCGGGCGCTGCCACTGGGGCCTGTGAGGGGTTCGAAATGAAAGAACCGTGCGAACGAGCCTTCGGTAGACCCTGGGGCCACGAGACGTATGACGGATGTGGAAAATGTGAGCTGGCGGCGCGAAGGCGCCAAGCTCCCTATGCGCCCACGAAACGCTGTAGGGTGAAGAGACCGAGGCAGGATGGGAAAACTGCTAATACCGACGGTCGTGTTCTTCTCCACGACGCGAGGAAGACTGGGCCCAGGGGACGACCATCGACTCCCTGAGCTCTACGGGGGCGCGTTATGGCCTGAATCTGGAGGCGGCTCCAGCCGTGACAACGAGAAGTCGCTCGGAGGCTCAGAAGGGGCGAAGAGCGTCCACAAATGCGAGGCAGGGACCTGTCCACATCCACCGCCCGGGGAACCAGTGTCCCCGGGGTGGATGTTGCTATAATTGGGCCCAAGGGAGCCCGAACCGTGGGACAGGGCACCATTAGCTAGAGAGGTCTCGTGACCACTGGAGGGGGGGGGGCCGGATTTGTCCGCCCCTGTTTCGCCACACACATTGCCGGTGCACATGTCGAGAATACGCAGAAGCGTACGTGAGCCCGTGCTGCGTGGTGCGTGAGGCATAGCACAGCGCGGCGTAGATTTGCCTCGCATGTGTGAGAACACATTGTTCGGTATGCTGGCCCAGCTTCGATCGGCCACGCGGCCCGGACAGCAGTGCACGGTTCTGAGAGTGTGTGATGGGCTCGCCCTTCTGGCAGCGGTAGGGGTTGCAACGCCCCTCTCGCTCCAGACGCGGCGTCGTCTCTAAACATTGGCTCAAGGTGCGAGTCACGAGGAAGAACGGTACACACGCGAACCGAAGAAGAACAGCAGCGCCGTCTCTTGGCCCGCGTGGCCACCAACATGTCATCCTTACTATCCCCTCACCTTCGCGTCTCACATCCCTCTCGACCCCAACACATCACACCATTTCCCTGAAAGCCCATCCGTGGCACGAGAGATACTGACCCTCCTGTCTGAGGGCACTGGCGTGCATGAGCTTCTGGATAGATTCGGGGACAGGCGAAAATGGCAGAGGATACGAACATGATTGCAAGCGAACTTGCCCATATCCACCGCCTGCCGAGGTCCCCGAAGATAGACCCTGGGTCGACGGTTCAGGATAACCCCCCGGCTCGGGAAAGGAAAACTCGATCCTCGAAACTGGACCTCCGGAGATGGGGGTGGCGGCCAGGTCCTGGGCAGTGGGCGCGGGCGTGGGCGCGGCCGCGGTGCCATTCGCCGAAGCGTTCGCGGTGTCGTTCGCCGCGGTGCCGTTCGCGGCCGCGCTGCTCTCGGCCGCGGTGTCGTTCGCCGAGCCGTCCTCGGGACTCGCGGCCCGCGGGGGCTGCTCGGTGGCGCAGGCGCGCGCCAGAGCGCGCCCGAGCTCCCTGGCCGACACGCCTGCCAGAGCACGCCACATGCACGCACGCCCGTGCGGGGCGCTGCGCGCGCGACTATGGCCCCCCTGCTGCCCATCGGCCTTGGGCGGTCTTCCGCGGTCTTCAGCTGTCTTCTGACGGTCTTGGGCGGTCTGCGGTCGTCTTCGGCGGCTTCTGGAGGTCTCCGGCGGCCTTCGCCGCGAAGGCTGGGTGGCTTCGTCCAACAAGGCGCCAACTACCGAAACACCGATCAGAGCGTAAAATATGGCAGAGAGAAGCCAACATGACAGCCGTCCGCTAGTCGACCTGAGCAGGCCGTCGAGCAGCTCCGACCTGGGCAGTCGTTAAGCCTGCTCTGAGCACGCCCGCTGCACCACTTCCGCGAGGAAGCGCCATTTCGAGGAAGTGGGCCCGCAAGAACACTCCAGAGCCTTCTAAAACGACCCCAAACGTTGAAAAACCTCCTCGAGTTTCGATTCGGGCATTGTCGGGACTGGGCTTGGTGGCACCGGAATTACTGGTGTGTGCGGGGTGGCACCTCCTCAGCCCCATTCTGCTGCTCGGGTCCTGCCTCGCCCAAAAATAACTGGCTACGACGGCTACGACAGACTCGGCCTCGTGATGCCGGCATTTGTTGGAGCCTCGGGGCCCTACCACGGACCGGCTCCCCGAACCCGGGGCCCCGGCGGTACCCGATCGATCCTGGAATGTCGATTTCCGGGAGGAGCTGGTGACCCAGTCTCCTTGGCGCCGCGAGGACCAGGCGCCGGCGTGCGAGTCAGCTTTGTCTTGGGCTTGTTGAGGCGGCTCGCGAGCGTGGACTCGTCGTTCTCCTCTGGGGGAACGGGCCAGCCGATGCGGCTGCCGAAGGGACTCCAGAGGAAGACCATCGGGCGGTCGAGCAGGCTCAAGCCTGTTCTGTTCGGCGGGAGAGCCAAGACCCCGCCGTCGTCTTCCCTCCGGATCCTCTTTCTCTCCCGGCCCCTCCCCCCTCCTGTTCCCCCCTCCTGTTCCCGACGTCGTCTTCAGGCTCCTCCCTCCTGCTCATCTTCCGCCTACTCTCCAGGCCCCTCCCCCCTCCCGGTCACCCCCCTTCTGTGCCCGGACATCCCGTGCCATCGCTCGGACGCCCATTCCCCGCGCACTGTCTGGTGTGGCGTGCGCTCCTTGCTGAAGGTGGTCCAGGATGCTCCAAGATGGTTCGGACTCGTCTCGGAAGGTCGCCCAGGATGCTCCAGGATGGCTCGGATGCTCCGTCGCTGGCTTGGGCACGGGAGCACCCCCGGCAGCCCCCGAGGAGTCGGGGCGGCCCGTCCACACCCGGCCGCCCGCTTCCGCGCCTCTGCACTGCGGCGCGGGCGGCGGCACGAGGCCCCACCGCGCGCCGCCGCCAGGGGCAGATGCCGGCGTGCGCGCCCTGGCCCTGGAGGCCCCTGGGGGCCAGCAAGGCACAGAGGACGGCCCCCCCCCGCAGGTCCTCGACCGCAGGGCACACCACGAAGAGGCCCACCTCTCGGCCCCGAGCCCTCGGCCCCGCCGAAACACAACGAGCTCCCCCGACCTGGGCCCGAAGCTCTCCCGAAGCCCCCCCTCGGCCCTCGGCCCTCGGCCCCCCCTCAGCCCTCGGCCCCCCCTCGGCCCTCGGCCCTCGGCCCTCGGCCCTCGGCCCTCGACCGAAGGGCCCAACACGAAGAGGCCCACCTCGCAGCCCTGGGCCCTCGGCCCCGCTCGAACAAAACAGGCTCCCCCGGCCTGGGCCCGAAGCTTTCCCGAGGCCCTCCCTCGGCCCTCGGCCCTCGGCCCCGCGCGCAAAAAAAAACGGCCCGGGCCCAAGAAGCCACGAAACGCTGTACTGGGGCGGGGGGGCAGAGGCAGTGATGGGAGGAGGGAGGGAGGAGGGAGGAGGGAGGAGGAGCAGGAGGAGGAGCAGGAGGAGGAAAAGGGAGGCAGGAGGACGGAGGGAGGAGGGAGGAAGGGAGGAGGAAGGAAGAAGGAGCGCGGGGGGGCTGCCTCTTCAAAACGAGACCCACCAGCAGGTCGGTTGGGAAAAAGCGACCTGGGCCCGAAGCTCCCAGCAGCCCTGCCCCGCTCCATGCGTGGGAGGCCCGCCGAGCAGGGCCACGGCGAAGAGTGGCGGCGCGCCTTCGGGGCGTGGCACGAGGACCGAGGCCGCGCCGCCCGCCACCTCATTGTTTGTGCATTGTTTTGACTTTGTCTCGAGTATCCCCCATCTGCTTCCCAAACTCCGCCTGTAGGAGAACATGTCCGACCTCATTCATTTGCTTTCCAAAATCCGCCTGCCGAAGGACATGTCCGACCTAATCCCAGGCCGAGGCGGCCCGCGCTGGTCGGCTGGCCCGTCGTCGATCGGTCGCGATCGCCGTCGAGACGACGGCGGCCCTCCCTGGCGAGTCCCACCCCCTCTTGTCAGAGGAATAAACGGTATCCATCCCGCTACCCTTCCCTCGTTTTCCCCCTTTCGGGGCCTCCTGGGATGCCCTCGTCGCCACCGCTGGATTCGCCTCGAACTCCTGGCCAGAACGCACAATGGGAAAGATCCGGGCAGTAGCGGCATCGGTACCGCTTGGTTTCCCCAACTTGGGGGAACCAGAAGGCACTGGTTCCTGGGGGATTGCTGACCAGAGTTTCGAGGCGAAAAAGTGGCGGCGAGGGCCTCCCAGGAGGCCCAGCGAGGCAAAAACGAAGGAAGGGAAGCTATGTGAGTACTTCGGGGCCTCCAGGATCCCCCGTTCGGCTCGGGCGTTGGCAGGGCAAGACGAAGGCAGGAAGAGGATACATTCCGGCGGGGATGAACTGAGGATCTCTGAGAGCCCACGGTTTGGAGGCTGTCTCGGGCATAGCGGCCTTCTTGAAGCGTCCCCGAACACACTGAGAGTGTTCCTGAACGCTCTGGAACGAGAACGAACGAACGAACGAAAACGATACGGCAGCAACGTCGACTCACCGTTGACTCTACAGCCTACGCGGCCCCTTGAGGCCTATCTAGATATAGACAAGCCGGCCCCTGGCAGGCGAGAGCGTCGCACTGGCTCTGAGGGCACCTCCAAAGCCCACGCAGGCCGCGAGGGCCCCCCTCAAGCACCCCTGGCTAGGGTCCCCAGTCAAAACTTAACCTCGAAAAACCAGCCTAGGCCGAGGAGTGCGAGGCATCTGCAGCAGCGCCGACGCCTAAGTTGCCCCCTCCCACCCCTCCACCACGACCAACGACGACGGTCCGACCCCTCCCCCGCCCCTTAGAGTCTCTGCCGCCCGCTCGATCGGGCCTCCTACCTCCTATGTATCCAAGGGGAGGCCTCGGATCCGAATTACGACTGCCCTCCCCCCCCCCCACCCCCCACCCCCCCCCCTTCTACCTACGGAGCCTTGCGCTCCACGGAGAAGGGCGTCGGCCAACCACTCAGGCGGCGGGATCACCGCGCCTCTGGCCACGAGCTCCTGCAGCCTGCTCAGCGCCCCAGGCGCTCGAGCAGTCGCCCAGCCTCCCGCTCGAGCGCCCCGCGACGGGGCGCTGGCCCCACCACCTGCCCCGCCTTGCACTGCGTCAGCGCCGCCCCCAGGATGTCGAACACCCGGTGCCCCAGGCCCGTCGCCCTCTCGACCGAGATCTGCAGCCTGGTCATCCCCTGCATCTTCTTGGAGATCTGGCCCTTCGGCTTGCGCAGCCTGAAATACGGCGCCACATCGCCGATGTCCGTCGGCGCCATCATCATGAAAACGTCCTTCCACAGCTCCTCCGCCGTCGCCTTGTGCTCCTCCGTGATCTCCTGCTTGGTGGCCTTGAAGACCGGCACCAGCACCGCGAGAAACCGCGGCCCCAACTGGCCCATGTCCACCGTCGAGTCCGCTTCCTTCTGGGCCCTGAGCGACTCCACGAGCGAGTTGTAGCCCTGTCCTGCCGCGATGGCCGCCTGCGCGACGCGCGACTCCACAAGGGCGGCGTACGTCTCGAACGTGACCGACGTGAACTCGGCGAGCCCCCTTGAATTCATCAGGCCCAGCTTGCCGAGAATGCCCGCCAGCACCGTCGCCGTGTCCTTGCTTCCTTGCCCTCTGCCCTGGCCCTTCGCCAGCGCCTCGGCCTCCTTGCCGAGCCGCGGCGCGCGGAGGTCGCCGGCCGCGGGGCGCTTGACCGCAGGTGCACGCGCCCACGTCGGCGCCCCCTCGCCCGCCATCGCGCCTACCACGAAGTTGCTGTCGACGCGGCGCACAGGGAAGGCGCGCGCGCAGATGCGCGCGAAAGATCTCGAGCTCGCCGAACTCGGAGCCGCAAAAGCTACAGAGCATGCGCGAGGGAACTGTGACTGTGCTGAGTGTGGACGCCTCGTCGATAAGGCATCGCCGATAAAGAAGGGCCCCCGCTAGATGATCAATCGCCGCCTGTCTGCTCGAGAAAACCTGCCCGCACGCGATGCATTGGTTCGTGGCAGCCCTCGTCGATCAGCAAAAGCAACATCGCAGGCCCCGTTTTCGTCACACCATGGGCAGACCTGAGCACGGTCCGTCAGCAGGGCACGCGACTCTTCACGAGCGACCGCATCGGCGGCCCCCCACGGCGCGATCTCGACACCGATGGCCTTCCTGCGATGAATGCTGACATCGATGCCCGAGAAGACCCTCGCAACGTCTGGCTGGAAAAAGGCAACGACCGACTCCCCGACGCCCCCCCACAACTCAGCTGCCTCCTCCGACCCGTCCGCCAGCTCCTCCAGATCCTCCCGCGCTCTTCTGGCCCATGGATTTGCCACAGGAGCGGTTTTCCCCTCCTCTGCGAAAACCTCGCCGTCGAAACTGCTCGCCACGAACATAGCTCCAATAACTTGGCGATGTTGCTCGGGCCTAGCAAAGACCTGATGTAACCAGCGGAGTCTTCGTACTCTGAGTTCGACATCGACGGTAGGTAGGCCCCACCACTGCAGCGCTGCCCATAGACGCGAGGCAACGAGTTCCTTTCTCATTTTCCCAAGAAGCCCCCCCCCCCCCCCCTCATCGCACGTCGACACAGCCCAGCGAGAGCCATCATCATCCTCGACACCTGCGACGGACTCGGAAGAAAACAGTCTACCGCACTCAACAGCCCATTAGCAACGCTACACTGGAGCAAGCACGTGTTCCATCTCTGCGGAATCCACGGAGTCGACCAGAACCTGCCCAGCTGAAAATAAGCTTTTTTACATCGCTGTAACCCTCTTCACTTATTCTCCAGAGAACGATTGGCTTGCATTCAGATAAGGCCCGAGGTATCTAACTTGTTCCAGTGAGTACACGTTCAATCGCTTGAGACGAGCAGCAAGCTTGCGTTTCTTTGCCGCCTCCACCGCAAGAATCGCCTCCTGCGTGGCGATGTTACGCTGAAGTCCCCCTTCTCGAAGTTCCTCGTCCAGACGTCGATCGCACTCCGTGACCTTCGCCTCCGCTGCCTCGAACGCCCAGTTCGTGGGCATGACCATCTTCCCCTTCAGGTCGTCGGCAAACTTGAAGAGGCCGAGGCACCACCGTGCTCGGCTGCAGAAGAGGAGATTCCACCTCCAGAAGTTGATCGTCGTCGTACTGTCTGCGGTCAGAAATCCATTTACCCACTGGTATTCGGAAGGCCTCCACGAACGTATGCACGGCAAAGGGATCCCCCATAAAGGCGCCACAACAATTGTTCATCAAGATCCGCCCTTCTGGTGTCGGGAGAATGCAAGGCGATGCCTTGCACCCCTGAACTCCAATGTCTGCCCGAACTCGCCCGCGAAGTTCTTCGTTGCCGGACCCAGCACCGTCGCGGATGTTGGTGCGAAAGCGCTCGACATATCTTTCAGTAGATCGCCCCATTTAATCTTGGCTTGCCCGGGTCTCCATCCGGAGCACATTGAGCGGAGCACAGCATCTTCTCTTCGTCTTCTCTGTGGGAAACCATGGTAGCATTCAGATGGCTTGGGTCCTTACTCCTTATCTTTCAACGACGCCACACAACCCTTGCCCAGACGATCCAGCCCATGAACCACACGACGTCCTCGAGCACCAGGCTTTGCGTTCTTGAACAGCGGGAAGCCTTGGCCGCAGGACCACTTGAGAGGCAATGCCCAACATCGTCTCAACTTCGCGAAAGCGGCCGCCATCCATTCTCTCACTGCTTCAGAGAGCACAGCCGGTCGTTGATGCCCCAGCCCCGCTCGTCGATTGGGCTCGCTCGGCGGCAAAAGACACACGCGGAATACTTCTAGTGGGCAAGACCGCGCGGGCACACCCCGACGCTCGGGTACCTCGCGAAGGTACTTGATGATATCCACAACGTCTTTCTCAGCCAGCGCCCTCGCCTCAGGCTCCGTCAGGAACTGTTGGGTGAACTGGTTTTGCATGGCCCCAAGCTGTCCCCGCGTGACCTCCGTGGCCTCCACGCCTCCTTCCCATCTTCTTTCTTCCATAATTCCATCCATTCTTCTTTAGTTAAGCAGGCTTCCCCTGATCTTCGAGAAGTCCATCCTTCGGGGCCCCCTCGACCCCCCCCCCCCCCCCCCCCCCCGCCAGCTGAAGCGAGAGCTGATGGGCGCGAGCATGATTGCGTGCCCGCCAGGCGGCGTAGATCTCCTCAACCAGCTGCCCCTGTCGCCGTAGCCGCTGTTGTCGAACGAGGTGCTTTACATTGTTTGTATACTTCGTCACGCTGCCTTAAACATTCATCGAGCTGAACACCACGAGCACCATGTTCTCGCCCCACCCGTTCCCGAAGGTCACGTCGCTGTTGCAGAAGTACCGCCCTTTTTTATAATAAGTTCTTGATGTAGCGCACTGCGTCCCGACTGCGAGACAAAAGCTTTGCCCGTGCTCTGAATCACTGCATTCAGCTGGTCAAATATTCGATCAGCCGTCACACCGTACTTCAGATCCTGAAATATGAATCCGCGCTCGTTGAGTCTTTGAGATACTGCCTGGATAAACTCTTCCCGCCTAGCAAAGCCTTGGACGCCCTCCATCAACGCATCTTGTCCCACATAACTGTTCTATGTCCGCCCCATCGGGGCCTTGCTGTTTCCTAACTTTACCAACGGGGTGAAGTGGAAGCCGCAGAGCCACATGAACAGGCACATGGTCGCGAGGCTCTTCGCTCTTAATCAAGTGTAGCCGCCTGCCCACTCTCTGTAGAACCCCACTCGTTTGAAAAAGAGGCACCGCATGCCTGGGGATCGCAACATGATCAATCATAGACCAAAACCCTGCCATCCCGTAGCACGTTGGAATAATCCTGCCCAGAGTCATGACTGCTACCAGTCCCGTGTCTTCCAATAGCTGACGAAAATGCTATCCCGCTCCAGCTCGATGGACTTCTGTGCACACCGCAGGTCCCGTCGCAGTCGAATCTGCCCTCTTCCATTATCCATCTTCTCTGGTTTCGCCCACTCCGTCGTTGACTTCCGCCATAACCACTGGGAAATACGACGTATATACTTTGTCTATGACCTGCTTCGCCCAATGCCGTAACTTTTTGCACTGGGCCAAATACAGCGGAAGAGCCTTGCCCTTGCTCGGCTTCGGAGGAAAAAACAGCGACATCAAAAGAAACTGAGACTCCCCGTCGTACTTGTACCGCCACCCCCCGTCCTTGAAGTTCGGCACCTGGTGTATGAACTGCCACAATGCAAGCCTGACTCCAGCGCGGAGGTAGACCAACAGAGCCCCCACAACTAGAATTACAGAATCTCGTGGGTGCCCACCCCGCGTGAATAACTGCTCGATCGTCATTAACCTGAAGTCTGTAAGGATCGCCTCCGTACGCCCGTATCCTAGTACCCTGCAGTCCGACGACGCCAAAATTGTTGGCCTCCCGGATGATATCCTCAAGCTTGCTCCCCACACAAGAAAGAGCATTGAACGAAAGAAATGACGCGCAGCATATTATCCAAGACATCAGACGCCCAGGTGCATATGACCAATCTGCTGGGGCGCCGAAATCTTTTGCATGCCTCCTCTGGCCGCCAGGAACTGCTTTTGAGCCCGAATGGCGGCTCTGGAACGAGAGGAGGAGGAGGAGGAGGAGGAGGAGCAGGAGGAGGAGGAGGAGCAGGAGGAGGAGCAGGAGGAGGAGGAGGAGGACTTATCCTCGCCCTGGCCCCGTCCGGCAGAGGCGGCCCTGGCCCCAGTGATGTGTTCGGCTCCTCGCGCCCGGTGTCGCCTGGGAGCCGCCCGAGGCGCCTCGCGATGGGGTGCTGGGGAGGCCCGGGCCTCCGTGGAAGAGCTGGGGCCGCCTGGGGCCCCAGACATCCCACGCCCCGATGTTAGTAAGGACCCAGGGACACACAAGCAAATAAGCACAAATCCCAGGATTCCCCATATTTGTCCATATCCCCCCCATTGTCCCAAATGTTCCATATTTTCCTGGAAATCGGCGTCAAATTGTGTCTGTGTGTTTTGCCCCTCCTGAATGCTGGGCGCTGCTTCTCTGGGGCGGGGCCTGAAGGGGGGGGGGGGGGCGAAGAGACGTGCACCGGTCGTGCCCCTGTTGGGCGCCAGGGGGCTCCTCTCGGGCCCCTGGAGAGTGCACGAAAGGGGCACCTTTCTTCACCCCCCGAGGACCGCCCCCCATTTCGCAGCGCACGATGATCTGTTCAAGACGGGGCCGCGGGAAGCTCGGACCCTTGCCCCGGGAAGGGCCTTTCATCCCGAGTCATCCTGTGACGGCCCCGGCTGGGGACCAGCAAGCACGCCCGAGAAACCTCCAAGCCGCTACGGCAGGTTCGTGTCGTGACGACCCCCTCATTGGTTTCTGACACCGCGTGGATCGTTCAACCTTGAACGATCGGCGACTCCTCGATCGCCCGATCGTTCCATAGAAGCCGATTCTGGGCCACTGGCGGCGCTCAACCTTGAAATTCTTTCTCCACCCTGAAATCTCTGGGGCCGGCCTCCCCCGGCCGAGGTCAGATCTGGCAACTCCCCGGCGGTGAACTGCAACCGCCGTGCGCGGCCAGGCCCCCAGCCGGGCCCCGCAGGGTCTCCGCCGTGGGCTTCGCGGGGTCGGGCTCGAACTGCATTTTCTTCAGCGTGCTCGTGGAGGTCGTCGTGGTGGTCGTCTGACCAGGCGGGCGCAGAGGATCAGAGAGGGGGAGGAGGGGAGATGCGAGGCGGAGAATTATCCACAGCCACCGCGTGAGGGATCGACCTTCGGGGACATCGGCTGGCGGTGGACATGGATATATGTGCCCCCCCCCAGGCCCCTCACCGTTGTCGTGGTCGTGGTCGTGTTGATGGCGTTGGTGGCGTTCTCCGCAGTCGTGTTGGGTGCGGGAGTAGGTGCTGGAGTAGGCTCCTGCTCCGCAGCAGGAGAGCCCGAGGGCTTGCAGGAAGCGACCACTGGGGCCAGAAGTCAACGACACCAACCCTCGCGGCCAGTCGCTCCCGCCTCTTCTCCAAGAGCGAAAGTAGCTGCAAGAAATAGCTGATGCGTGATACTCACCGCGGGCTCAGGAGAAGGCTCCCTGGAGCCTGAATACAGCATGCAGCGGGGCAGCGGCGATGACCACCAACCTGAGCACGCATCGGCGTCGAGGGGAGGAGTTTGCCGACCCTTTCTTTGAGGGGGGTCTCCTCGACGCGTGAGACTGCTGCCCCTCTTCAAACCCTTCACCCAGGAGCCCGGTCTGGCCGGCTGGCGGGGTGGAGTGGGTGGGAATCAAACGATCTGGCGGCCTCATCTGCTCCAAATGTGATGTGCTCCCGGATGGCCTCCGATGGTCTCCACAATGCCTCCAGCCGCTCCAAGACGGCCGAAGATGCTCTTCCCGTCGCCCCAGATGGCCCCAGCACGTCCCAACGTTGCCTCCAGACACCCCAAGAGGCACGCTCCAACACCCCGAAAGCGCTTCAAGAAGACTCCCAAACAGGGCCTCAATGACTAAAAATTAGTGTCATGCCCAAGTTCTTGATCAGTCTTCACAAGGCCCCCGAGGCCCAAAAGACCTCCACAAGATGGCCATCAAGGCTCCCCAGAAGACCCCAAGACTGCCCAAGAAGGCCACAAGACGGCCCCAAAGGCGCCCAAGATGGCCCAAGAGGGCCCCACGAGGGGCCTAAGAGGGGAAACTCGAACTTGAATTTCCAGCCCTGGAGCCCAAGAGGGCCCCGCAACCGCCAGCGGGCTCCCAAAAAAGCCCAGACACAGTCCAAGCTCAAGAGAGGGCCAAAAGACGGCCCCAAACTGTCCCCAGTAGGCCCCAGAATGACCCACCAGGGCTGGGTTCGACAAAGGCGTGGGTTCCCCAAATGGACGCACAGCGCCAACACGCTTGTACGACAACGCCCACCAGAAGAGGGGCACGCACCCAGGACTCCCGAATGGTCGGCGGCAAGGCGTAAGCCAATGAAGAAGAGGAGGCATGGTGGCCCCAATCCCCGACATTGTGGCGACTGGCTGAAACATCAGGGGTTCATTTCGGGTATTCACGACAGGGGACGCCCATCCTGCTGAAACATTTGGTGCACAATCCGAGGGGGGGCGCCCATCATCTAGAGGGGCGCGTCCGGACAGCCACCCTTACTGTATCCTCGGCATCCTGCTGCTTTCTGACAGCAACTTTGATCTTATTGCTCGCGGACCGGATGCAAGGAATCACATGCCAAGAAAAGAAATCTTAGATGTATTTCGACGGCGCGTGATACGAACGGCTGGCGGGGCTGCCGCGAAGAAATGTCCTTTAGGTATCTGACGTTTGGCTTTCTGGAGACGTCCCGGGGGGTCTCTCAGGGCCCTCTGAGGCAGCCTTGAGCGTCTCTTGAGGCGTCTTGAGGCTCTCTTGGGCCGTCTCACACCATTGGAGACCCTATAGAGCCGCCTGGAAGGCGGTCTGAGCGCTCTGGGGGGCGATCTGGGGCTCCCCCAAAGCGGGCTGGGCCCGCAGAACCCACACGTGTGGCCGAGGTCGCAACCTGGGCCCCCCGGGCCCAGTCCTTCATCGTATGTATATTCTGGACCAGCCTGAGGCCTCCTCCTCCTGCTCCCTCCCCCTCCTCCTCCTCCTCCAACACCTCCACCTCCTCCGCCTCCTCCTCCTCCTCCTGCTCCTCCTCCTCCTCCTCCCTCCGCCTCCTCATCCTCCTCCTCCTCGCCCTCCTCCTCCTCCTCCTCCTCCTCCTCCTCCTCCTCCTCCTCCTCCTCCTCATGAAGAGCCACCGTGAGTGTGCAGACTGATTCTCTGCGATGGTGTCGACAGAAGCGGCCCTGGGAACCAAAAGTGCCCCACGCCAACAGCCGGGCCGGCAAAGTGTGCAGGACGGCGGCGGCGCCGCACGGGCTGCTCCTCTGAGAAAAGCGGACGCGGCCCAAAATGCAAAGATGCTGGCTTTCTGCGACGCCGGGCGCGGCCCTGGATCAACGGTGTCAAACAGCAGCAGCGGACTGGACCTCACACTGGAGCCCCTCGCCCTCCGTAAAGGCGCAAGAGCCGATCTCACCTTGAGCAGCCCATGCAACAGGTGCCCTGTGGTAAACACGCGTGGCGACGGAATCGAACGGAACAGTGCTAAGTTGTAAACGCGCGGGGCGAGGTTGCACAGCTGCCAGTTATGGGTCTGGGTGGTTCCTCCTCCCTCAAGGACTGGACCTCGCAATGGAGACCCTCGCCCTCTGGCCTTCTCCTCTCCTTTTCCCCTCCGTTCTCATCTGCGGCAGGCTCGAGTCGTGACGACCTGGGCGTCGGATCGCGGCTATCCGATAATGCGGAGCGTTCGATATCGGCCGATTCCTGGCCACTGGCCACTGGCGGCGGTCGGTCAGCCTTGCACGCCCGCGCTGGGGGCTGCCGCCGAGTCGACGCGGCACGCGCCCGCCGCACGCCAAAAGCATGGGCACCGCGGTCGTGGTGGTGGTCGTGGTAGATGTCGTGGTCGTGGTCTCGGGGGCTGGAGGAGCGGCTGCTTCCCGGTCTCCTCCTTCCCCCCCCCCTCTTTTGTCCTCGTCCAAACTGCCCGCCCGTCCGCCCGTGGCACCTCTGGACCGTCGCGAACTCCGTCGAAAGGTTGTGCCGCTGCACCCGCCAGAAGCCGAGCCCGATCTGCCAGCGCCGAGGCATCGCAAGCTGTGTGGAGGCAGCGGGTGTCGCCAGAAAAGGGACTGTCCCAGGGTGGCCCCGGCCGTTTCCAGGGAGGCCCAGGTGGCGGCCAGGGCAGCCGCGACGAGGCCCAGAGGGCCGACGCGAGAGGCTGGAGGGGGGGGGGCGGCGGGCCAGGGCCGCCTCTGGCAGCCTCCGAGAGAAGGACGAAGAGGAAGCATCAGAAATCGGACCAGCTGCCCCCGGCCGGGCCCGGATCGGATAGCGTGCCCCGGGATCAGCTGGCCCAGGAGGCACCGAAAAATCGAATCGGATCGGCCTCCCCAGGGTGCACAGTGGCATCGAGGACAAGGGCACACGTGGTCGGAGCGTTCGGGCCGTGGAACGTCGCGCCAAGGGCTTGCGTCGACGTGCGGTACACGGAGGGCGCGTTATCCTGCGAGTGTGCTCGCATCGAAATGCACTCGCGAGCCCACGACTCGAGACGATAACAACAGCAGCACATACAGCGCGCAACGGGTGGTTGTAGCCGTCGTGGTGGTCGTGGTCGTGGTCGTGGTCGTGGTGGCCTCACGTCATGCAAAGCTCTGGGTGGATGGAGGAATGCTCCTAAAGAGAGGGTAGGGGGGGGCTGCAAGGGAGAAGAGGAGAGGGGGAGAGAGAAGACGGAGGACGGAAGGAGAAGAGGACCGTTGTGCGGACAGGCAGGGGAGAGGGGAGAGCACAAGAGAGGAGGAGAGGAGGCGGGAGGCAGTCGGAGTGAAGATGTTCTCGGCACGCCGCGCTGCCGGCGTTGGCGGCACGACGCGCACTCCGAGCGTGCCGGCCCGCTCCCGCCTCACTCCGCGCGGCCAGCGTCTCCGGAGCAGCCTCTGCCGAGGAACTCACTCCGAGCGTGCCGCCTCGCGTCCGCCAGCACGTTGGGTCGAAGGCGAGGATGGCTTGAAGCTCTCTTCGAGCGTGCTGGCTCGCATCTGGCGCACATCGCGCTGTCGGCGCTGCTACCACGAAGCCAACTCCGACCGTGGCAGCTCGATCGAGTCTGGAGGGCATCGCGTTGCCAGTGCTGTGAGCAGGACCCTCGTTCCGGGCGTGCCAGCTCGCATCCGGCGCATGTCGCAGTGCAAGGGTTGATGGTAACTGGTGTTGCTGCCAGGGAGCTCGCAAAGAGCGTGCCAGCTCGAACTCGCCGCACAGCGCGCTGCAAGTGCTGTCAGCAGAAGCTGAGTCCGAGGGTGCAGTGGGTATGGCAACGGAGGAATAGTGGATGGGGGCGGAGCTGGAGGGCTCCAAAAGGTGGTTCAGGCAAAGGGAGTCGGCCTGGCCGGACCCCTCTGCCCGACGCCCTTTCCTGCAGCCCTCTGGGCCATGGAGGGGTGGGCGGGGGGGAAGGTGGCGGAAGGGAACGATGGGACCTCGGAGGGAGGAAGGGAGGAAGGGCCAGGAGAGAAACGATTAAGGGAAGGATGAAGGATATGGATGGGCGGAGGAGAGGAGAGCGGGCGTGGGTTGGTGCGGGGGGTGGGGAATTGGAGGGGGGAAGGAGAAGGACCCTAAAAATTCGCTGGCCCAACGGGCCAGAGGCGTGCTAAGATCTCCGGTAACTTCTTAACAATATGTCTAGTTCGCGCGCGCGGGGCGGCCCCTGGGGGGCCCCGGACGAAAAGTACCCCGGCTGACCCCCGGCCGGGTCCCGGGCGATCCCCAGGGGGGAGACTATTTTTCGCCACCCCTCGCGGGGATCGTGGCCTCCGAGGGGGGGCTGCAATCGACTACCCCCCTCCCGCCCCAAGGGGCCCCCAAGAGTCCCCCAAGAGGCCCCAGGGGAGCCCAATACGCCGCCAAGGAGCCCCAAGACGCTCCGAAGAAGCCCCCAAGAAGCCCCCAAGACGGCCCCAAAAGGCCCCAAATAGCGCTCCAGGGCCGGCGGAATGAGCAAAGCGATTCAATCCGCCGATCCGGCGTGTGAGTTTCTGAGAGCGTGGGCTTGAGCTCGCTCAAGCTTCGCTCTGTCGGGGGGGGGGGATCCGGCGAATTATCCACGTAATTCAGTGAACGCTCCAGCGCGGGGGGGGGTCCAAGAATCGAGGGGGGAGGGGGGGAGCTCGAGCGAGGACGGGGGGGGGGTCGAGCTCAAGCGGGGGGGGGGGGGTCCAAGGAGGAAGCTCGAGCGGGGACGGAGGGGGGGTCGAGCTCAAGGGGGGGGGGGGGTCAGCGCGGGGGGGGGGGGGTCCAAGAATCGAGAGGGAGGGGGGGGGGGAGAGCTCGAGCGAGGACGGGGAGGGTGTGGAACGAAGGGGGGGGTCGAGCTCAAGCGGGGGGGGGGGTGTCAGCGCGGGGGGGGGGGGAGGGGGGGTCCAACAATGGAGGGGGAGCTCGAGCGAGGACGGGGGGGGGGTCGAGCTCAAGCGGGGGGGGGTCCAAGGAGGAAGCTCGAGCGGGGACGGAGGGGGGGGTCGAGCTCAAGCGGGGGGGGTCAGCGCGGGGGGTGGGGGGTCCAAGAATCGAGAGGGGGGGGGGAGCTCGAGCGAGGACGGGGGGAGGGGGGGTCGAACGAAGGAGGGGGTCGAGCTCAAGCGGGGGGGGGGTCAGCGCGGGGGGGGGAGGTTCAAGAATCGAGGGGGAGGGGGGGGAGCTCGAGTGAGGACGGGGGGGGGGGGGTCGAGCTCAAGCGGGGGGGGGGGGGGTCCAAGGAGGAAGCTCGAGCGGGAACGGAGGGGGGGATCGAGCTCAAGCGGGGGGAAGAAGGGGTCAGCGCGGGGGGGGGTCCAAGAATCGAGGGGGGGGAGCTCGAGCGAGGACGGGGGGGGGGGTCGAACGGAGGGAAGGGTCTAGCTCAAGCGGGGGGGGGGGTAAGCGCGGGGGGGGGGTCCACGAATCGAGGGGGAAGGAGGGGAGCTCGAGCGAGGACGGGGGGGGGGTCGAGCTCAAGCGGGGAGGGGGGGTCCAAGGAGAAAGCTCGAGCGGGGACGGAGGAAATGGGTCGAGCTCAAGCGGGGGGGGGGGCTCCAAGAAACCGGACAGGGCAGCGGGGGGAGGAGGGACAGCGTCGTCATCACCGTCCGTCGTTGACCCGGTCGTCGGTCGTCGTCGTCGTCGTCGTCGTCATCGTCCGTTCCCACACGCATCGGGAGCGCCCCAGATCGGCGGCACTGGCCGGAGGCCATTACAATAACTTGTGTGGGCACGTACCCTAAGCACGATCTGGTATGACCCTGATCGGAGTGAGTTTGCCGCCGGCAACGCTGGCAGCGTGATGCGCGCGGGGCAGCAACGATGGCAGCGAGAGGTGCTCCTGAAGCGAGCCAGCACGCTCCAAGAGAGCTTCTTGGTAACAGCCCTAGCAGCGCGATGCGCACAGGCCGCAAACCGCCACGCTTGAACGGACCTTTTCCCAGCAGCGACGCCAGGAGCGCGATGTTTGCTGGTAGCCAGCCAGCTTCCCTAGAGCGAGCCTACTTGCAGGAACGATGACAGAGCGACGCGCGCCAGGAGCGAGGCACTCCACCGCAACCGGCCTTGCCGCGTCTGAGACGGGTCGCTGCATGCAGCAACTCCCCACATACGCACTGCCACTGTGTTGCCATGGCCGGGACAAACACACTGTTATAAGCGCAAGCAAGAGAGCCCACGCGCGCGTCGTCGAAGGATCTGTCTCTGGCCCAACGGTCTCCGCTCGGAGTCCACGGGGCAAAATCATCTTAAGACAAAGTGGCCACGGAGCCAGCCACTGGCACCTTCGGTGGAACCCCCCATACGGGATCCTTCAGATACGGGATCCCGCAGCGTATGCGGAAATGTGCCGTGGGACGCATGTGAGCCCTGCCACTGGGATCTTCGGCAGAGCTCCCTATGGGGCCACGAAGCGTGTAAGGGGTGTGCCTGGGGACACTTGTAAATCTGCTACGGGGATCTTCGGCGGAGCTTCGTATTGGGCCGCGATGTGTGTATGGATGTGAAGGATGCGCCGACATGCGCCCGGGGACGCACGTGAGCCTTGCCAATGGGGCCTTCCGTGGAGTTCCGGGGGGATGTGCCGAAAGGGGCCCGTGGACGCATGTTAGCCCTGCCACTGGGGCCTTCGGTGGAACTCCCGATGGGGCAATGATGCGTGTGAGGGGTAAGCCGAAATTGACCTCGGGACGCATGTGAACCCTGCCACGGGGACCTTCAGTTGAGCTGCCTATGGGGTCACGAGGTGTGTGAGGGGAGTGCTGACATGCGCCTGGGGACGCATGTGAACCCTGCCACCGGGGCCTTGTGTGAAGATCCCTATCGGGCCACGAAGTGTATGAGGGTGTGCCGACATGGGCCTGGGGACGCATGTGAAACCTGCAACTGGGGGTCTTCGGAGGCGCTTCCTACTGCGCCACGAAACGTGTGAGGGGTACGCCAAAATGGGCCAGGGAGCGCACGTGAACCCTGCCAGTGGGGCCTTCGGTGGAGCTTGTATGGTGCCGCGAAGCGTGTGAGGGGTGTACCGTCAAGCGTCTGACAAACCATGTGAACCCTGCCACCGGGGCCTTCTGTGAAGCTCCCCATGGGGACAAGAAGCGTGGGATGGGGTGTGCCCACATGTGACTGAGGACGCATGTAAATCTGCCAGTGGGATCTTCGGCGGAGCTCCCAATTGGGCCGCGAAGTAAGTGTGTGTGTGTGTGCGTGCGTGTGTTGTGTGTTGTGTGTTGTGTGTTGTGTGTTGTGTGTTGTGTGTTGTGTGTTGTGTGTTGTGTGTTGTGTGTTGTGTGTTGTGTGTTGTGTGTTGTGTGTTGTGTGTTGTGTGTTGTGTGTTGTGTGTTGTGTGTTGTGTGTTGTGTGTTGTGTGTTGTGTGTTGTGTGTTGTGTGTTGTGTGTTGTGTGTTGTGTGTTGTGTGTTGTGTGTTGTGTGTTGTGTGTTGTGTGTTGTGTGTTGTGTGTTGTGTGTTGTGTGTTGTGTGTTGTGTGTTGTGTGTTGTGTGTTGTGTGTTGTGTGTTGTGTGTTGTGTGTTGTGTGTGTGTGTTGTGTGTGTGTTGTGTGTTGTGTGTTGTGTGTTGTGTGTTGTGTGTTGTGTGTTGTGTGTTGTGTGTTGTGTGTTGTGTGTTGTGTGTTGTGTGTTGTGTGTTGTGTGTTGTGTGTTGTGTGTTGTGTGTTGTGTGTTGTGTGTTGTGTGTTGTGTGTTGTGTGTTGTGTGATGTGTGTTGTGTGTTGTGTGTTGTGTGTTGTGTGTTGTGTGTTGTGTGTTGTGTGTTGTGTGTTGTGTGTTGTGTGTTGTGTGTGTTGTGTTGTGTGTTGTGTGTTGTGTGTTCTGTGTTGTGTGTTGTGTGTTGTGGTTGTGTGGTGTGTGTTGTGTGTTGTGTGTTGTGTGTTGTGTGTTGTGTGTTGTGTGTGTGTGTTGTGTGTTGTGTGTTGTGTATG